ACGACCTTTGGAACACTAGCCCAATGCTCTTCCAACTGAGCTACGCGGTCAGGACGGTTCGAGTATGCGATATTTCGGAACTGAGTCTAGTTCCTTCGATATCAGTGTAATCTAATAATCATGAAATCTGCTGTGTTGGTGTTTGTGAGTAACATCACACAAACATCTTATTCACGTGAGTACATTACACCAACACAGCAGATTTCATGATTATTAGATTACACTGATATCGAAGGAACTAGACTCAGTTCCGAAATATCGCATACTCGAACCGTCCTGACCGCGTAGCTCAGTTGGAAGAGCATTGGGCTAGTGTTCCAAAGGTCGTAGGTTCGAATCCCGCCGTGGCCAGGCATATTTTTCAAGCCTGCCCGGTGTGGATATACACACAGAGTAACATCACACAAACATTTACATGTTACCTTCAATGTTTCATTATCAATGCAAAATAGCATCTTTAAGAGAGGGGTCAGGGGGTACCTCCCCGGATAATTTCTATACTCTTGAAGCTCGATGACTGCATTTCTGGCATTCTCTGGAGAGAATCATTGTACGTGCGAGTAGCCAAAAATTGCTTCTTTCAACAAAAGAAAAAAAAATATTCTATTTACAAATTCGTTTTGTTCCATGGTCTTTTGTTTGGGCGAAACAGTCATTAAGCTGAAGCTAACACAATAGCTCAAGCGTCCCTATAAAATTCGACCAAATTTATTTGTTGCCTCGTTCTTTGAAAACCTCACTTTCTATTGTCTACCCCTGAAGCCCCGGTCAGACGAGAGAGTTGATGACAGTTGGCAGTCACGATGTTCCAACTATGTTTGAACTTAAAGGGGCAGTGTCACGGCGCTGATTGGTTAAAATAAATGGCGCAAAGAAACGTTTAAAATTAATGATACATGATTGGAAAAGATGCAGCAGCCTTCAATTTTTAAAACAAAGCATGGATGTCCTGCATAACAAAGGGTTATAAATAGCATATCGTATTTCACTCCTAACTTGATTAATTGTTGGCAGACAGTTTTTCAAGTTCGCGCATATTTTGGATGCGCAATAGAACCGTGACACGGCCCCTTTAAGTAGAATACATGATAGATACAACTCTCATGCAGCTGTACACAGGCTAATGCACTCTCGTCCCCTTTTCATCCGGGCTGGCAAATGTTTACTCGTTTGCCCTTCTTTAAACTAATACAGTCTTTTAGAAACAAACATGATTTTGCCTAAAGCATCACTACCCAGCAAATACTGTTTTTTAGGTCAAGTTCAAACGTCGAACCTTTCTTAAACCGAAGCTAATGGAATACACTTTTTCGACCATGACGTCACAATTCCCTCCCTTGCTCCCGGTGCCTCATTCCCACGAATGGTGAGTGAACAGCCTTGCATCTTAATGAGGGTCCCATGCCAAGGAAGTATTCGTGACGTAATTATCGTGCATTGAACTCAGTGGTAGGCAAACAAATTTAATTAAGGAACTAAGATTTCAACCTAGAAAAGTTGGACATATGTTTGAAACCTATGACTGAGCTCAAATATTTACATTAGTTTAGCCACATGATACAGTAAGCGCGACGTTTGGACTACACGAGTACAATCTCACAGCTTTACAAATAAGTTGTGTTCGCACTGCTTGTTCCCAGTTGTTGACGAGTCTGGAACAAGTTGTTATCATCTTGTAACAAGGTTGATAAGGCCAACAGAGTTGTTCCAACAAGTCTGATATGGTGTTGCAACAAGTTGTTCCAACAAGTCTGATATCGTCTGCACGTATAATAGTTGTTAAACAAGTAGATGACAACAAACTTGTAGCAACCTGTTACTGTCGTTCCAATTGAAGTGTTGCTCAAATATTGATTCAATACATTACCTCGGGCTGACCAATTCATTTCATCAAGTTCCTCGAGATATTCATACACTTCCTAGTATAATTGTAAACTTCCTGTTGAATAGTTTGAATGCACCAATCACCTTTGTTGTTTGTGCAACTAACCAATCATAAATTGAAAGGAAGTGACCAGAAATGATCAAATACTTGGAATCGGCTCTTTCACAGGAAGTGTATGAATACCTCGAGGAACTTGATCAAATGAATTGGTCAGCCCGAGGTAATGTATTGAATCAATATTTGAGCAACACTTCAATTGGAACGACAGTAAGAACAGCGTGCATCAGTCTTGTTGTAAAAACTTGTAGCAACAACTTGTAGCAAATCTGTTACCGTCACCAACGTTGTAACAAGGTGATAACTTGTTCCTGACTTGTCGCAACAACTGGGAACAAGCAGTGCGAACACATCCTGATATCGGCTTGACAACAACCTTATTACAAATTGTTTGCAGATCTGCAACAACTTGCGCGTTTTCAATGCATACGTGTGTTGGTCAGAGTCTTCAAGTTGTTTATTTACACCACAGGCAAATGCATCTGGCAAATATTCTGTAGTTTGCCTTTGGAAAAGCATAGCTAGGAAATACTGTTCCATAGTTTCTGAGTTTTACTCTCAGAGTGCCTCAAATGGCTTATCGTTCATCTATTTAAAGTTCCTCTTGTCGTTCTCTGGCTAACCAAACAGCTGCCAAGCCCAAAGTCTTGTAAGAGCAGCAGTTTACTCAATTCATCTTGTATTTACATACCTGCGTGCCGCAACAGTTTTTTGTTGTTTCTCTATTTGCGTCTTTTTCTCTTGCTTGGTGTTTCATGTTTTTGAGATGATTTCTTCCGTTTTCGTGATAAGTTTGTATCCTCCTCTACATGTCCACCCCGCTCTATGTCAGCTACACAGAAAGAAATCATTCCCTATCATTCTGGTCCACTGTTGTGGCTACAAGTCCTTATTTCGACTTTAAAGGACATTGGCAATAAAAAATTAGTTTAGTTCATTTGAAAGAACTCTTAAAACTATATGTTAAACTCTGTTACGGATTGTTTATATCTTGCTTAGTTTTCAAAATATTTCGACTGAGAAAAGTAAGCTGTTCGCCATCTTGGATTATTGAGGATATGCAAGTTACGTCAAGAGAGGGGTCACGCTAATTTTTTATCTTGAGAGTAAGCGATCAATATGGGTCCAAAACTTCGTTTCTGGTTGCTGTCTGAAATTTAGAAATTATTAAAAACACTTCAAACAATTTTGATTGTTACTCGGTCATTTTAGAGTAGTTTTATTTGGTTAACCCAACTCCTGACGTCATCAAAACCGCAGTTAATGAGGTAAAGAATTTTTCCAAGATGGTGGAAAGCTCATTAATTTCGGTCTAAATATTTCGAGAAATAAGCAAGATATGACAAATCGGTAATAGAGTTTAATACATAATTTTGAATCTTTTGTATGATTTTGAATCTTTTGAATGATACAAACTAATTTTTTATTGCCAATGTCCTTTAAGGGGCTGTTTACATGAGCCCTACCGGGAGGGCTGGCCCTAGCAGTAGGGCTAATTTTCACCGCTTGTTTACACGAGAAAAATCAGCCCTACTGGTAGGGATAGCTTCCTTTCGCAAGTAGCACTTAAATGGCTTCCGTGCGACTCATTATTTTTATTTTGGCGTCCAAAATCATAGTTTGCCGACTAAATTTTGGAATAAAAGCCAACAGACATTTGAATATCCGTTTAGAACTACATCCTCAAAACAAAAAAAGCTTCAAAGAGTTTAGTCTAAAATCGATTCGACGGCTTTTTCACTCAGCCTACTAGGAGGGCCAGCCCTCTCTACTGCGTTTATATGAGAAAATTCCAGCCCTACTAGGCGAGATCTCGGGTGAATAATAGTGGGATCTCGCCTAGGAGGGCTGGCCCTCTTCTCATGTAAACGTAAACAATTTTTAATAAGGATTTCAAATAGCACGCGGGATCTCGCCTAGTAGGGCCAGCCCTCCCTGTAGGGCTCATGTAAACAGCATGAACATGTAGGGCTCATGTAAACAGCATGAGAGTTAAGAGCCTGGGAATGAAGTTGACTAATAATATGACGTACTGATCTGAAAACAAAAACTGGATGGAGTATCCTTTTGTATTCAATCTGCCAATTTTGAAACCAGAATAAAGTGACAAGTTTCCTACCCATGGTAGCCTCTTCTTCCAGTTCTGACCAATCCTTTCCACTCTCTTCATCTGTACCAAGTTCCTCTTCAAATTCTAAACATAGCGATGGAATCAAAATCGTGAACCTCATACAGTCTACTTCAGCAGCGAACCAGCATCGCACAGAGTGGATGCAGGGTATGAAAGAATAACGATTTAATGATCCATCTTTAGTTTAAACATACAATGGATTTAGAACAATGACTTAAATGAAAAGCAAAACAACTCAAGGGTTGGGTAACAAAAATTTATTGTCATTTCCAAAGCATGACTCGCTCAAATATTGAAGACTAAAATTAAATGTCAACAGTCATATGTCAATACAAGATGTAAATCAATCAGAGTCACTATATTGATCATTTCCCAATTTGTCAGAAGGCAAATGGTGTCTTCAAAGAAAGCACATGTGCAGACAACATGAAACTTTAGACTGCAGAAAATTGCACAAGCAGTTATCCAACTTATGTCACAGAAGTGGTATAAAAGGACATGTGTGACAACTGAATATAGTATCCTTTTGTAAAGGTTTTGGCCAGGGGTGGGTATTTGTTTTTTTAATTGACATTTGAGGTTGGGTAAAATTTTTTTTTGGATCTTTTTAATGGTTGGGTCAGCACAATTTTTGCAAAGAAAAACATTACTCTTCGGTGCCACCGCCCGCCATAAATAAATGACCGGTCCCTAACTGCGAAATAATAATCAGATAACAGAATCAAATCTCAGTGCTGACTGCCGCGGCACCACCTACTGGATCGCTCAAGAAGAGAAACAAAGTTGAAATATATCTGAGACATATACCTGAATCTTCTTCGCTTTCTTCCGTCTCTCCCGATAATTCACTCTCGTCACTTTCCACTACAGCATCGGAACCACTCGGAGCGTACTCGCTTTCTTCCTCCTCTTCCTCGGCTTGCTCTTCGTCCTGCACAGGAAACGAAAGTGAACAAAAAGGTGTTAGAATTTACTGACGCTTTACAGGCCCATTTCCACTCAGGAAAATTTTCAGCAGAAAGAAAATTTTGTAAAATGTGATTGGCCGACACAAATTTTCCGTCGGAAAAAAATTTTGAAGTTGAAAATTTTCAACTTTTCAACAATGATGTTTTCTTGATCTTGAGTGGAATTTGGGCATCTCATTGGACGACTTGCGCTTTAGAAAAATTTTTAATCTGGGAATAACAAAGGATATTTTCGGAAAGAAGTTATCAAAATTAGAAAAACTGCAAAGTTTGGTTGCGAAATGTTGTAAAATACGGAAAATATAGCCCTGCGAAGTTGGCAAATTTGTATACATTTCTACTACGTGCGGAAATTGGTAACTAATTTAGTTACCAATTCGCGCACGTAATACAAAAGTATACAAATTTGCCAACTTTGAAGGGCTATATTTTCCGTATTTTACAACATTTCGCAACCAAACTTTGTTATTGTAATATTACTAATTCCAAGACGCTCTTTCTAGCTGTGGTGATAGATTTCGTTGTTCTTACTTAGATTAAAATTTAGTCCAAAGCGCAAGTCGTCCATCGATGGAACTAAATATTGAAAGCTTTTTTAGATGGAAATTTCGAGTGTAAATTTTATACACTTTTAGACCTAACCAGGAACAGCTGCGAAAAATGCAACTATCAACCCTCTCGCAGGAATCTTAGCCTTCGAGTTACACTGACATATATAAAACAAAATCACAGTATAACACGAGAAAGGCGTGAACCAAAAACTGTAGAGACAAGTTGTTGTCCATAGAAAATGTTTGCAATTTGTTAAGACTAATTCCTGTGTTCTTAAAACTCACTCACACAGTCACACTCAAAGAGTGGAGGTTCAATCTGAGCTTCTCTTGAGCAGTCCTTGAAACTCAGGTCGGCATTCGGCAATGCCGACCTAAATGCCGACCTGCAAAGCGATATGTGTAGATTTAGGTCGGCAAAATTTTGCCGACCTACTTTCAAATACGTCTCGGCATTTTTTTCCGCGAACGTATCTTTCACACACGCATTTTCAACGATGATGTTTGGGCTATGTTTACATTGTATCGGATCACTTTGCGTCCGACGCAAAAACCATACCGGATAGGGCTTCTGTTTACATATGAAATGTTGTTAACGTCTCAATTTCTGCAACGGACCGGTGGTGCGGCGGTTCGCTCTTCGAAGCGGTGCGCGATGTATCGGATCGCTTTTTGCAACGCTCTCATTGTAATGTAAACACAAATCGGAGCAATTTTCGGTTCAATACGTGACTCAAGATGGCATCTGGGAAACAAAGACTTGCTATTCTAATCTTATTTGCGGGTATAGCCTGCTCACTTATAATATTTTTGTATTTAGATGGGCGAGGGCGGAAGCTGTTTACACTTGGGCCGTAACGTTTCGTGAACGAAGCAAAAACCGATCCGATACAATGTAAACATAGCTTTGGTCACAACATGCACTGTTCGATTGCAGTTCATACATTTTGTTAGTTGTTTTGTTTGCTATTGGCATTGATTGCAATTAATTGCTGTTTATAAATACATGTATTTGCAGCAAGCAAATTAAATTTTCATTTGGATATTTTCTATTTGTTTTGAAAATATTTGCCGACCTAGATTGAGAATTATCGCTTTTAGGTCGGCAATTTCTTGCCGACCTGAAATTTCGGCAGTTTCAAGGACTGCTTGAGTGTCAGTGCTGTTTTTGAATAGCTGGAGGGTTAGTCTCGTGCCTTCTATGTGAGTACTCACCCTCCAGCTATTCAAAAACAGCACTGACACTCAAGGGAAGCTCGGATTGAACCTCCACTCTTTGAGTGCGAGTGAGCTTTTAGAATACAGGCGTTAGTCATACAGACAGTATGAGACAGTCTATTTCTATGGTAATGGGATCCTTTTTCAAATAGGCTTTGTAACGTTTTGCAGAAGTATGCAATTTAGGTATACGTTAAAGCCCAAAATCACTTAATACAATTGTCTTCATTTTGGCTTCTATCAGAGTAAGTTGACGTATAAGCGAATGTGAAACTTACACTGCTGTCGGGTTCCAAGAAACTCCAGCCACCATTTTCTATGAAATCTTGTGGGTCATTAGTGATCGTTTTCATAATTCTTGCCCAGTTCAAACTCTGCACGCCTTCGGTGTATTTGATATCACACGAACTGGAAAATTCAAAAATATATATATTCCATATATTTCCGTTATTTCAAACCTTCTGTGTGCACGCAAGCAAATTGGTTGTCTATTGTACGTACTTTAACCATTCTTTAACTGAGTCCAGTGATGTCATTGGAATAGAGTTGACGTGTTCCACTTTTCTTGTATATTCTTTGAAAATGAACACCATATCGAAATTCTTTAAATGAAACTAGAAAAAAGACAATATACCGCCACTTAATTCAATAAATTATGTCGACCAATCTTTGCATGACTGATTCAAGGGACAAATTGTTAACGATTAAAAGTGAATGTTAAACGCCAGACCAATTTCCATCATTTCACACTTTCGTTTAATTAACATGTATAGTTTCCACCGTAAAAAATGGAAAATAAAGCCCAAGCTTTAAATTCGGTAAATATGTAAGCGGGGAGGAGGCAACGAGCACAAACATGCCTTATCTGATTCAGGGGTATTGAAAGTCAAGTTTTCTTGGAATATGTCCTGATTGCAGTATGAATTACAGACCGAAACAAAGTCAGATCATGGATGGATTTACTTGATGGGGAAGGGGTGAGGATGGGGGTGCAAGGGAGGTACGCACACTTTCTAACCTTGGCGAAGGGCGGGGGGGGGGTGCCAATTAAGTTATCAAATCCATTATTTCTCTCTTGAAACCTACCACCCTCACCAACAAGGCATGTATCTGGACCCTGCCAGGGGCAGTGGGTGTGGGCTTTCCCCTCAAAATTAAACATAAAGTACGTCTATAATGGTTATTGGTCTAATGACATTTACTTCTCCGACACACACTGGACCATCTGACGGAGAGGTACAGAGAGGGAAGAGAGGCATTCCTTAAATTATGCAAAAATTATAAAAACTCCAGTGGGCACTATTGATAACATTTTTTAGGGGAGGGTACTGAACCCTGAACTTACTTGAACTCTTTCAAAATGTACCAACTCCACCTCATCCAAAGTGATGACAAAGACAGGTTGTTCTGTCAACATGACCAGACAATGTGTTGTAGGTTGAAGTAAAACTGTACTTCGGAACGGAACACCAACAAACCTTCAATTGTAGACAAATCCACAAATGTAACTGGCACTTTCAAGCACATGCACAGACATGTTACAGGGTTCGTAGTCTCCAAGACCAAAAAAATTCAACGACTTTCAAAGATTTTTTCTGTCTATTTTCAAAGACTTTTCAAAGACCTTTGAGAGCAATCAGCAGCGAAAAATTGCGAGTGTAAGCACCATTTTTACCCATGCAGTAATTAGTCCCATCAGATCGCATCCTAAAATGCGCCTTTTCGTCGATATTTGCAAAAATCTTGATTCAATTAATCTATTTTATTAGCTAGGAAATCGTATAATCAATTCCTCACTGAAGAATTTAATGACTTTTAAAGACTTTCTTCGCTTTTTCACGCAATGTAAAGACTTTTCAAAGACCTGCATTCCAATTTAAAGACTTTCAAGGATTTCAAAGACCGCTACGAACCTTGTGTTATGTGAAAAATATTTGCAGCGAATTCAAGGACTTGTCAACAGGACATGTATGGCGAATATTCATAGTTCATATACACAATAGCATTGCGCTTAATAGGCATCAAGTGCCAGCAACATTGACACGTGCGATCATTGACATCAATGTGTGATGCATTGATATGAAAATGGGTGAATAGAATGGGTCAATCAATATTTTAGTTTAGTGAATCTGTTATTAATGTTCATACCCAAGTTCTCTGAATGGAACATCAAACTCGATTTGGCCGTGTGTGATTCCTTCTACTCTGTCGATGAAGTGTTTGAATGCCGCTTTTAATCTTTGACGGAGTTCTCGTTCAGCCTGCAAAAACATTCAATATGTACTTCGAATGATCAAGATTAGGTGTTTTACTATAAAGATACATTACATTTCTTCTTAGAATGACCCAAATATTACACTACCAAAAATCGTCGGGGTAAGTGGCGCTTTAAACATCAGAAAGCAAATAAATAAACTTACAAAAGAAAACAGATAATTTCTCATGTTTTGCCCCACATACCAGGGATGGATTTACTGGGGGCGTGTACACCCCCTTAGCAGTTAGCCCTGGCCATAGGGGATGCAGGACAGCAGGAGGGTGCTATTTTTCGTGATAAAGCAAAAAATAACAGAGACAAAAAATGAGATACAGTAATTTAAGCAATAACATGATGTTATATAAGCAAACTGTGAACAACAATTACAATTCAGATACAGTATGTTGATGGCGGGCGGTACACATGACCGACGCAACTCGGCACCAGAGTTGGTGGAGCACACCTTCCCCTACAAGATCATGCTGGATCAATCACTGCCACATACCTGCTCCGCCTGCAAATCATCTCTGTCGTGCATGTGTTGATGTTTACCCAAGTCTGTTGTGATCTCTCCAACCTATAATAGAAAATTTCAGTGTATTGTTATGTTGTGTTTTTTTTACATCGGATGACTTGACAAGATTAACTGACAAATTTCACGATTTTGGTTAGATAAAGTTTAAGCCCCGCCCACAGGAGCAAATTTTATTTGACAAATTTCATTTTCTCAAATGCATTTGATCAAAAGCTAGCATGCTAGCTTTTGTTCAAATGCATTTGTCACATTAAATTTGTCACAAATTTATCATCTACACGAGCAAAATATCTTTGACATATGAAATTTGTCAAAATAAAATTTTGATCGTGTAAACGGGGCTTTACACTTGAAATTTCCGAGTACAGAACCCTTCTAATTGATAAATTGACTATTTAGTTTCTTCTTCTTACTTCGGTATAGTATTGGATATCACGATATTTTTTCTTGCCAATGATAATCGCGTTCTACAAAGCAAAATATACCTTGTTCTACTCCTTTTATAAAAGAAAAGTACACCTTTGGGGGGAATTGGTGAAAGATTGTTTAGTGCACATCTTCTTTCTCGGGGTAATAATTTAGAAACTAACCCAGGGGTGGATCTACTGGTGGGGTGCAGGGGGGTACCACCTAGTGGTGTCCAGCACCCCCTTCAAGAAAACTCTGATATTCCATATTTGAGTTGTGAATACTACCTATTATATGGAAACGATTCATTTTCAACTATGGGAGAAAATATTCAAGCACCAAATAACGTAGCACTTTCCTCGATTTCTGCCCGAAATACAAGTACTATGAGGACAAATTTAACGAATAAACGTAGAGCTCAAAATGCAGGAAATGGCATTTCAGGTCTTCAAATTTCAAACATTTTCTGGGGACGAATGCCCCCGCAATCCCCAAAACAAATCAAGCCAGATCCGCACCTGAACTAACCAGAATGCAATACAGCGCGAATGAATTTTAACAGAAAAGTAAAGTACATGCAGATACCAGAAATACACCTACCTTCAGATGAAAATGTATTAATATTATCATTTCACGATCACATGGCTAAAATAGATAATACCAGCAGTCAATAAAGAATTTCCCATACGGCTCCTAACCGCGCTATAAAACTCCCTATATCAAAGTTCATATATTTTAATATTTTATATGACATTTACCTGAAAGAAGGCGTGTTTAATGTTTCCATACAAGATGTCAACTCGTTCCCCATTTACGGATTGAAATCGGAAACCTAAATTGCAAGAATATTGGACTTATAGTATTTTGAACTACTGTAGTGCTGCCTTGAATTCCAAAACTTAAGTTAGTCTAAGACTGATAACAAACTTTGAACACCTTAAACATTTTTTGTAAGATTTTGTTTAATGTTTTTGCACCCCCCTTCTTGACCAAGCACAACAGGGCTGCACACCCCTGTGCACCCCCCCCCCCCC